GTTAATTCACTAGAGAGGTTTCGTTTCACGTTGTTCAGCACAAACCAACTGGCATGTTCTTGCATGAATCGGAGAATGACGTGCTCTTGACAGAATCTTGTTCAACTTTGTTAGAATTGATCGTGTACACGTACTGGTGCATGTAGCACGAGTGGTGACGACCTTGGAGAACACGCTCGCACCAATCACCTTGGAGAACACGCTCGTACCAATCACCTTGGAGAACACGCTCGCACCAATCACCTTGGAGAACACGCTCGCACCAATCACCTTGGAGAACACGCTCGCACCAATCACCTTGGAGAACACGCTCTTACCAATCACCTTGGAGAACACGCTCGCACCAATCACCTTGGAGAACAACGCTCGCACCAATCACCTTGGAGAACACGCTCGCTCCAATCACCTTGGAGACCACGCTCGTACCCATCACCTTGGAGAACACGCTCACGTGTAATGGTAGTTAATCATCGTCCGTTTCGAAGCGAAGATCTGACCAATCCTCGAGCATCGCGCCAATTCGGGAGTCGGTTTAAGCCAAACGATTCCACCCTCACTCTTTAGCTGTTGTGTGCCCTAGAAAGGTTCTATGCTAACGTCTGTAAACACGACGTTTCTGAGTACAAACAAAATTCCTTGCTTGAAGCTTGATCCGCAATCCATCGCTGGAACGCTCCATCTGTGAAGATGCTCACTGTTGGCTGATGACTTGTCTACACCTGGTCACATGTGGATCCAGCGACAAGCAAGGAATATCGTTTGTACTCAGAAAAGTCCTGTTTACGGAAGTTAGTGTAGAACCAACTTTTCTAGGGCACTTGCCAGCTCCGGTGCGCTGACTGAAGAGAAATCAAGCGCAGCACCGAGTACTGCTCTCTTTACAGTAAATATCGAAAACTCGTGTCCAGTATGATGTGGCTGACGCTGTAGCAGCCGGTGGTGAATATAAGTGGTGAATAAAAGCGGTGTATATTGAGCAATATTCACCACTTATGTAGATGGCCAATTGCATGTGGGTGATTATGGAATGAGGTATAAATGTTGGATAGATGAGTATGTACGCTGAACACTGTGATACTGGATACTGTAAGTCTACAAATTATCAGCACGTTTTAAATTTCAGCATCCGCAGGCCAAAATCCTTTTCGGCCCCATTAAAATTCAGCCTATACAGCTCCTGCCTGTATATCCTGTCATACTGTATAATGCATGTCACAATTTCAAACAAATCCATCCTGACAACTCTCAGCTCGATAGGCACATCAGTGCCACTTCAATGTCCTTTCCAAACTCTCCTATCATGCCTTGGAAACGCCACAACAACTCAATGTAGCATTCTTTTTCAGCTTCTTGCTCAAACTCAACCGATTGTCACGATTCTAAGAGCACTGAAAAGCTGAGATCGAGGCACATCTTTTGATGGCCATTACGCATGCCCTGTGCCAAAAGGAAATCCCCTGGTATGCTCCAATATTACTGCAAGGTCGAGAACCAGAAAATCCTCGGTCACTCAGTGCTGTGGGTTCCTTGTTCACCTCGCCGCCTCTGGGTTCGTCTTTGTCCTGTCATATTTGTCACGCACCCTTAGGAAGATGTTTGTCAGGAAAAGCAAAAAATCTCTCCTGTATATCGCGGTTCATTTCACCATGGTAGTATACGCCATACCGACATCTTTTGGGGGAATAACGAGTACTTAAAAGGGAAAAATTGGTTGTGAGCAACACTGGCTCACACTCAAATCACTGCTTTTCACCAGAAAAATATTTTATTTTTTTTCTGGTGAAAAGCAGTGATTTGAGTGTGAGCCAGTGTTGCTCACAACCAATATTTTACTTATGAAGCTGCGTGATGCGTCCTACAAGATTTTAAAAGGGAAGTTAAGCCTATAATCAAATTTTCACCATTTGTAGTCTTCGGGGTGCTGAGTCGAATGGTCTTGGCCCGAGGAAGCCGAGACGCTCCCTTCCTCCTTTTTTCCCATTCAAACTCGCGCACTTCCACCGAAACTGGGTGATGGCGCCCTTGTAGATGGGGATTTATATGCAGAGTGTCACTAAAAGCGCCATTTCGTTCTTGTAAAAGCACAGATGACCGCGGTTGGCCCATATGTTGTAGTCTTTCGGACGCTGAGTCGACTGGTTTTGGTCCGAGAAAGCTGCAATGTAGCCCGTATTCCCAATCAAACACAGTTGAATGAGCGGTCACGTGCTCTGCCTCAGGCGTACACAATTCACCTGGTCAACGTGCCTGCAGGCTACAACTTACAGCCAATTTGGGCGTGTACCTGTTGCTGAAACTTCTTTGTTGCAAATCTGTTTTGCTGTAAGCCAAGGGAGGTCTATTTGGAGTGACACATTGATAGCCTTTTCAATACGGAGTGTATTATCTATGCTGAGGAGCAGTGCGTGTGACAGTGCCATGGTTATTTGGATGTCTGCTTGTGACTGACAAAGACTAGAGCTGAAAGAAGGCATCAGCCGACAGCAATGCTCTCCTTTGTCTGTGGTTAGTCAAGTTTCCAATTGATAAATTGGACCATTGAATTCAAGTTGACTTACTACTCTCTTTGTGTGTGTGTGTGTGTGTGTGTGTGTGTGTGTGTGTGTGTGTGTGTGTGTGTGTGTGTGTGTGTGTGCATGTCGGCAAGCGTGTGTGTGTGTGTGTGTGTGTGTGTGTGTGTGTGTGTGTGTGTGTGTGTGTGTGTGTGTGTGTGTGTGTGCATGTGCATTCACTTTGACAGGACGATGAATGCCTCATTGTTCGATCAGAAAATCCCTCTTCTGGCAATTCTCATTCACCAGCATCAGAAGGAACACTCTGCCCAGTAGCATCACAGCCAGTAGCCACCTCAGCAGTGGCAGGCTCAGTAGCAGCATCACAGCCAGTAGCCACCCCAGCAGCGGAAGGCTCAGTAGCAGCATCACTAGCAGCATCACCGGCTGTGGCATTACTAGTAGCATCACTGTTAGCAGCAGCAGCAGCAGCTTCATTAGCATCAGGAGCATCTCCAATAGCAGCAGGACTGTTAGCAGTAGCAGCAGCAGTAGTCCTTGCTGCAGTAGCACTTTCAGCAACAGCATCACCAGTAGCAGCGCCAATACCAGCAGCAGCAGCAGCCTCACCAGTAGTACTTTCACCAGTATCATCAGCAGCAGCATCACCAGTAGCACCTTCAGCAGCAGCACCAGAAGCCTCACCAGTAGCACTTTCACCAGTATCTTCAGCAGCAGCACCTCCAGTAACACCTCCAGCAGCAGTATCACCAGTAGCATCACCAGTAGCATCACCTCCAGTAGCACCTGCAGCAGCATCAGCAGCGACTACAGGTATGTACCTGACTGGGTGTTTATAGTGTATTTTAGATACACATTTGGCCAATTTAGCACAATAATAATTAATGGCGGGCAATCTCTTGTCCAGCGTCACCACTTTGAAAAGGACTAATGACTAGTTAGATCTTTGTCGGGAAAAGGTTTTTCTCATGAATGCCTCCAGGGCCTGTTTCTTAGTGGAAATGGCTGTAAACACAGCCGACACGTCATAGAATTGCTATGGGGCCGCTGTCATATTTTGTCGCCCTAAAGCGAACATCGTCCGTGAAACAGGAGGAGAGGGGGGGGGGGGGGTCGTAACTCGACCAACAAACTGTGTTCATTTTGGAGGAGTGAGGGGTCCATCTGAGTACGAATGAACCATGTTCGTTTCCGTGGCGACAATAAACTTCTGCAACAAACCGTGTGTGTGTGTGTGTACATGTATTCGCTGCATCTACATGTGTGTGTGTTTTTTGTGCTCCTTGGGAGCAGGTTACACTTTCTAAGCTCCGTTTTCTTGGCTTTCTCCAAAGTTTTCTGCCTGCCCAGGGCGACTCTGGCATAGCTAGAGTCGACCCTGGAGCACCCTCGCACACTGCCAAGGTAGTGCTGCATAATTGGAACGCGGAATCGCGATGTAGCTTGTAGGACAATTTATTTTGATATTGTCACTGCTGCGTCGGCCATGGTCCACAACTCGCAGTGGAGTAGCTGTCCCTCAAGTGCTGTAAAGAATCCAAGCTCAAAGAATGCAGTGGTGGGAATTGCGGATTGGCTGGTGGAGTGCTGGAATGACTCGTTGTTTACAGTGGAGTGGACGAGCGAGTGCGGAGAGGAAGATCGCCATGGCGGAATGGTGGAAATTGAAACTTCAATATTTCGTCATCATGAGTGCACTGGTCAAGCGTTGTGGAAGTCTGTCGGATTTATGAGGCCCTGCCCTGCCGCTTACATCATCAACGTGGAAGAACTGCTAGTGGAGTCCTGGTGGGATTTCGGATGCTCACACTCCTTTTGCTTGGTGGATTCTTTCGTGGACAGTGTTTTTTTTTTGGGACATGAAATTTATTTTCTTTCCTGTTCGTTTTCAGTCGTTGTCACTGTACATGTAGCTGTCAGGTTGTTGTTACAGTACAGCAGTCGTCCGTTCTACTCCATTGTTTCATCTGTTTTGCCAGTTCTGCTAGCTGATTCTCTTTATTTGCCACTGCCCCTCATAGTGCCCATGCTTGGGTGGAGGGCGGCGTGACCTGTTTAGGGTAGCTGTATCATAGTAGTAGTAGCAGCAGCAGCAGCAGCAGCAGCAGTAGTGTGTGTGTGTGTGGGTGGGTGCCAGCTAGTTCGGTTGGTAGGTACACTTATGCCTGATTGTGTTGGGTCTGTTGCCAACTGGCTCGGCTGCTTGAAGGTGTAATGTTGTACCTGCTACCTTTGTTGGTTCCAGGGTTCATATACTTTCTATTTGAAGTATATAATATACCTGTGAACCATGGACTGCTTCTGGCTAGATTAACTCTTGTGTAATCAATGGTGCTAGTGAAGCTTTTATCAGATCCACTCTGATTTAGCCACTCACACTAGTAGCAAGTATTACCTTCACTGGGGGCAGGGGTAACTGCAGTTGGACGTCGGGACGGATACCCTGATGCCGTCAATCCTTTTTCTGCACCTTGTCCTCACCACTTACTGAGGTGTGGTGAGCCCATAAGTGGGGTCATTTTCAAGTCCACCCAGAGTGTTGGGGATTTCAGGGGGTGTCGGCCGTTGGGCGGTTCAATAACCAATTGAGTCATCTTTCCAAGATTGCTTTTGAGTCTCTCTCCCCTCTCCCGGGGGGACTCACGTGACCAGTTTTGGCAGTGAGCAACAAGTACAGTACAGTACAAGTGTGTGTGTGTGTGTGTGTGTGTGTGTGTGTGTGTGTGTGTGTGTGTGTGTGTGTGTGTGTGTGTGTGTGTGTGTGTGTGTGTGTGTGTGTGGTGTGCGTGTGCATGTCTCTTGGCCACTCCAATGGCACGCTGTCTGTTGCCTTGCAGCAGAAGCCTGTGTCAGTGTGGACAGTAGAAGCGGTGGTCACGGTGCTGGTGGAAGCGGTCATCACAGCGCTGTTGGAAGCTGTGTTCACGGCGCGGAATTAATGTCACTTGGTGCCATTGGGTTAGTGAAAGATTTCCTCGCAGGTTTATATAAATAGGTCAAATACGTTGCCTCGAAGCTGACCAATCAGCCGCTTTCATTAACGAAGCGTTCAGGGTAATGGAAACACTGACAACACACTGCCTGCACATTTAGTGAGTGGGTCTTTTTCATCACATAATGCTGCATCGCATTTCAAGGCTCTACTGTCCACCGATGTGGGATTCTACTGTCCCGGGGGGGGGGGGGGGGAGGGAGGGGGGGGGCAGGCACTGTCCACTGGATGGGGGGGGGGACTCTACCGTGTCCACTGAGGGAGGGGCTCTACTGTCCACTGGGGGAGACTCTACTGTTACGGCCCTACCTAGAACGTGGACCTGTTTCTAGTTTTTTGTGTTGTTTTGTTCTGTATACCACTCTGCACTGCAGTGGAAAGACACTTGAGCAGATTGCCGACTGGCATGCGTTTGTTAGCTCGATTGAACCGTTCATTGGCGGAAAGGAGGGAGGTGACCAGATAGGTTGGTTGCTTTTGGACAACGTGATTCATGTGTAACTTATTTCAATGATGCCGGGTGGTGAATATATTTTCTCCAGCAAGGACACGGCAGAGTTTTAGCCGTGTGTATACGTGTATGTACTTCCTCCCCTAAGCGAAACTTCGTTGCGTTTTAAGTGTTCTTGTCATGATATTTCTGTCGGCATTAGACATACATGTCAGTGATCTATCCCCTACATAGGGTAGCCGAGTTGTCGTCCATTGTTCAGACAGGCTTTTGAACCTCCGAAAAGCATGGAGTCCTTTGAAAAAATTGGCCAAGCAGAACCGTTTCTCGACAGGATGTCACCAGAACACAACCCCAGGCGCGCGCGCATGACACCAAAGTGCGAAAATGAGAAACAGTTTGAAAGATCGCGTGGCTCGAAGAAGTGTCCAGGAGCCGGCCAGCGCTCAGGCACTGTGAGTGCTGTACTAGCACGAGTCGATGGTGTGCATCCGCACGCAGCTAAAATCAATGCACTTGTGTTTGCAGCGCAGGGGAAATCAAAAGTGTTCGACATTCAGGTTGTCGTTCAGTCGGCGCAAAATCCTGATCTCAACATCGACGACTTGGCGTTCTTCCACAGTCACTCGTGGTGAAGGAAACCAGAAAGGAGCTTCTGCAGGGTGTGGAAACGTGCTGGCACGACTACACCGCTGTAAAGATGGGGAGCGTTTGTTTGGGTCTGCATGGCTCTTTCCATAGCGTTCCGGAGAGTGGCCACAACTACCAGCGCCACCGTGGAGGTCGTCAAGCACACAGTTCGAGCGAAGAACTTGGCAATCTCCACGATCAAATTATGTCTTGCAAACTTGTAAAGGCTGCGGAACAAAAGCTGGCAGCGCTGGAGGCGAAAATCAGCGAGGAGGCAGACTCGATGTCATCAGGGAGTGAGTCGTCATCAGATTCAGACGAAGAGTGAAGCTGGACTGCTTTGAAACGAGCGGTGTGACATCTGTAAATAAATATCTTTCACATGCTGCCTTGTTTTCCACTTTGCAAAGCGTGTTCGTAGCCATAGAATGATTTGGACTGAACTGTAAAAACGCAACGAAGTTTTGCTTGAATGGAGGAAGAAGCGAATTGTGAGTAAACATACAGTACTGGCAACTGAAATCCGACCCCCTAGGGGTGCCCTTGGGGTCCCCTAGGGGGTCAGATTTCAGTTGCCAGCACTGTAGTTTGAGGTAGTTCTAGAGTCAATCTTATTCTCTGGGAGTGCAGGAGCCTTTCGATTGTGGGCGATTTTCGGAGAAAATAAGCGTGAGGCTGGTGGCATAAATTTCTTTTTGTATTTGAACATTCTCCGTGGCGTCCAAACATACTGTTGAGTTCGAAACAGGACGACTGACGACATATCCAGACATTACAACGGGAACAGGTTAGTGGGAACGACATTTATTATACTAGTAGACGACGAGACAAGAGACCAAGACGAACGAAACGACTACATTGAAGAGTGAGAAAAGAGAGAGCGAGATCAAGTCTAAACGGCAAGATAAAGGGCCTGGGTAGCTATGGCAAATATGGGCGCGCAAGTAGCTACCCAGGCCAACGGAGCAAAAGGAGACAAAAGGTGCGTACGCAAGTGCATGCAGGCCAGCTAGAAAATGTACGGGAGGTGGTACCTAACATACCACCCCTCCATGAAAAAATCCCGCGTCCTCGCGGAGAGAAAAAAAAAGAGAGAAAAAGATTTTAAAAAACGACTGAAGGAGAAAAAAACACACACACACACAACGCACGGGCCTCACAAAAGTGTGTACTAAAAAAAATGCACTACAGATCATTACAACCGTCAACGTTCCTGTACTACTCATACTATAGTGTGTACAAGGCCAATAACAACGGGCCCAAACGCCCCTTCAAAACATGGCACAAAAATAACTATTGGAGTTCGACGAGGGACTTGAATTGTATTCTGATGACTAGTATTTTGCACGGCTAATAGAGCCTAGTTACACTTTAATATACGACATAAATAAGAGAGCGTGGCTCACCATGATCGGACCCCTAATATTAATGAAGGACACCCGCGCGCACACACACTAACAAAAAATTCACGAAAATATATTTGACGAAGAAGGAACGCATACAAAAAAAGAAAGAGAGAAAGGTAGCTGACCTGCATGGCTTGAACGACACGAGGTTGATATAGACGAGACGAGGTTGGCGTAGGAGAGACGAGGTTGATAGAGACGAGACGAGGTTGGCGTAGGAGAGACGAGACTGACATGGACGAGACGAGGTTGACATAGACGAGACGAATGGTGGTTGAGGACGGCTGGGCATGGGATGATCTCAGGGTCGTGGGTTCGAGCCCCACGTTGGGTGCCAATGTTGAGTTCGAAACAGGACGACTGACGACATATCCAGACATTACAACGGGAACAGGTTAGTGGGAACGACATTTATTATACTAGTAGACGACGAGACAAGAGACCAAGACGAACGAAACGACTACATTGAAGAGTGAGAAAAGAGAGAGCGAGATCAAGTCTAAACGGCAAGATAAAGGGCCTGGGTAGCTATGGCAAATATGGGCGCGCAAGTAGCTACCCAGGCCAACGGAGCAAAAGGAGACAAAAGGTGCGTACGCAAGTGCATGCAGGCCAGCTAGAAAATGTACGGGAGGTGGTACCTAACAATACTAATTGTGTGGTTCAACCAGGTGAAAATATTTTCAGAGCCAGTGAGTGCCCCTGAGCTGCTTGAATTGTTTTGCAATACCCTCTTGTCACTGTATGCATGTGTATGTGTAGACTTTGATGAGAAGGTGATATCCTTGTACATTGTTTTTTAACCAGTGTTCCTATTGAAGTCATGTCCCCTAAGAGTGGTACTGACTCTTGAGTACTTTTTTTGTTTTTATTACCACGGCTTGCCTTGGCAACTCATCAAGTGCAGCATCAGCTGCAATGGACATACGTAACCAAGTCTACTCCATTGCTTGATGCAGGTTGTGGTCAATTCAAGTTGTTATGTGAACTGGTGTTCTACCTCTGCCGATCATGACTAGGGAACGGCTAAGCTCATCCCCGCAATCTTTTAATTATGTTTACGTTAAATGAAGCTGTAAGGAAGTTGGTTACTCTCACACTGCAGCTCGCGCTATTCCCGTCGACCTGACTTGAGCCTTGACTGACTCACTACTGACTGTTTCAGTGTGAGAGCAACTAACTTTCTTATACGATTATCGCCGAGGTCGCTACCACTCTTTCGTGTTAAATGAAGCTCACTGTTCTTCAATGCAGTACACGCATTCACACAATCCACACCGTTCCAAATGAACACTAGGAAATTTTAGAAACGAACATTTTCGTTCCCTTCTCTTCATGGTCTCTCACATGGAGTAAAGCAAAAATAACTAAGACAGCAATTCCATTGGCACAGAAGTGAGGGAGATAAACATCCTGCTACAAGTGTGAAAACTGAAAAGTCAGCAGCTCAAAAACAGTGTCATTGTTCTTTTCTGCCCATTCTTCTGGTGATGTTGTAGCAAACTGCGGTAAGGCGGCTGTGCAGCTAGTGGCTCCAAAATACACAAACGTCTACCCCAACGTGCTACAGTCGTTTCATGAAATGTATAAAGGTAACATCCGAGGCCCAGGCAAAGGAGAGAACAACCTCTTCTGTATCCTGCTGTATCTGATGCAACAACGTCCGAGCACAACCGTCCAAGAGCTGTTTAACCTGCTGGCTGATAATGCCAAGCATAGCCGGCGCCATCTTTTCACGGAAATCAAGTGAGTTGCAGGCTGTGTGTGTGGGGGGGGGGGGAGTGGCGGGGATAGTTTAGTGATCTGCAGTGGAAGAAGGTTGAGGCATCAGATCATGTTACCATGGTTTCAGCACACCTGTGTATAAATAACACCTATGTATAAAAAATATCACCTGTGTTTAAATTAAGACCCCTTCGAATAAAGACCCCCTTCGAATAAAGACCCCCTTCGAATAAAGCCACCTATGTATAATGACCACCTTCATGTATTTATAAAGATTAAAAATAAATAATAATAAATTCGACGGGGTTCGCGTATCGGGCAGGTCAAGAACAAGGAGTCGTACAACTCCCTGGTCAAGAACCACCTTTCCGCTTCCGTGGGACGCCACCACCCCATGATCAGGCATCAGATGCGGCTCCTAAACTATAAAGACCAGCTGGGTACAAAGACAACCTGTGTGCTAAGACCACCTGTTTTTAGGACCCTGTATAGACCAACTGTGCTAAGACCACCTGTGAGCTAAGACCACCTGTGTGCTAAGACCACCTGTGTGCTAAAACCCCCTCTAAATAAAGATCATCTGTGTGGTAAGAAGACCACTTACACATGTACATGTATGTATCATGACCACCTCGGTGATAACCACCTGTGTAGCACGACCATTTGGGTTTAGCCCAAAAGTGACGAAGCCAGCTTCCAATGCATAACCTCTCTCCCTCCTCTTCCACTTCAACCCCTGCACCTCTCAGCGCTCTTGCCCCACCTTTCTTCCCCCATTCTGTACATGCTGCTACTCACCGACTTACAATCTGTGTCCTTAATGCTCGCTCCATAGCAAACAAGTCGGGCGAACTCATTCAAATCTGTGAAGATCACACACCCAGCGTAGTATGCATTACAGAGACCTGGCTTACTCCCACACAAGCTTTCCACGTGCCACACTATGAATGCTTCCGCCGAGACCGACCTGTTTTAGAAAATAGACAGAACTGTGACCCACACAGGTGGTACGGAGGAGTTCTAATCTTAGTTCGTGAAGGTCTGTGAACTTCCATTGATCAGCTACCGGATTTTCAGCAACCGGGCTTAGAAGCGCTAGCACTTTGGCTAACACTCGCTAAACGTAAGCTTGTCTCACCTTCTGACCTGCCAACACCCCACCTAACAGTAGCCTGTATCTACCGTGCTCCTTCCCCGTCGACGGATGACTTCTCGACTTTTCTCGACCGCTTCCAAATAGCCCTGCAATCAACTCAAAGGAAACCCGAAGCCCTTGTGATATCAGGCGACTTCAACTGTAGGTATTCCGGCTGGTGCTCAACTGACCAAACAGATGCACAGGGTCTGAGTCTTGACAACCTCTTCTCATACTATAATTTGACCCAATCGGTAACCTTTCCCACCCACCTCCGCTCGAATGGACTTGGCAGCTGTCTAGACCTTATCGCGAGCAACATCCCTAACCAACTCAACCACATTCAACACCTGGCTTCTCTTGGCGCATCAGACCATGCCGTCCTGCTGGCTGAGTTCTCCTCCTCAAAGTCTTCCCCCACAGCAGCCAGCACCTGTCGTAGCCCACCATCTACACAAAAATACAATGTCCTGAGTGCCACGGATAACATGTGGAATGCCATGAATGTTTTTCTCGCAGATGTACCCTGCTCTCAGGTCCTTTGCCTCCCACTGCATCGACACGGCTGTCTCCGCATTCACTGACATCCTTGAAGGTGCCTTGGACCTATATATAGGAAGATCCTCACCTCCTCGTCGGAAATCACGCCACAAACCCTGCCCCTGGACGACTCCATCACTGAAAGCAGCTATTAAAGTCAAGAGCGATCTCTACAGCATCTACCGGAAATACCCATCCCCTACAAATTTCAACAAATACAAACACCAACGTAACTATGTAAAATGCCTTTCCAGATCCTGCCATCGCTGCTACATCCGCAACCTCCGTGCCACGATATCTCCCACAAACCCTCGCCTCCCATCCCTCCCTGTGCTCATTCGTCAACTGCGAAATCCTACCAGCGCCCGGGTCATACCTTCGAAGATGGTGGGCCCCAATGGTCGAACAAGCACCTCTCCGGCATCCATTGGTAACTTATTGAACCGCCACTTCGTCAGTGCTGGCTTACAGGTCGACCCCGATGCTCCTATTCCCACTATTTCCTCCCTACCTCCACCAGCAACTACATTGCACTCCCTGATCATCTCCTCATCAACTATTCACAAGTATATTGCAAGACTGCCTCTGAACAAATCCCCCGGAGCTAATAACATCACCAATGAGATCCTCAGGAAACTGAGCTACCCAATTGCTCGCCCACTCTCCATTCTTTTTAACCTTTCCCTCTCCTCCTGCACATTACTGTCACGATGGAAGTCAGCCACTGTCATTCCAATGTACAAAAATAAAGGCGACAAGAACAACCCGTCTAATTACCGACCAATCTCCCTCCTGTCCTGCGTCTCCAAACTGCTAGAGAGAATAGTGTGTGACCGCTTGTACAGCCATATCTCCCCTCTTCTTCACCCCGCACAATCTGGCTTCCGTCGTAAGGACAACACAACCCTGCAATTGTCCCGCATAATCCAAGACCTCTGCTCCCTAAAAGACCAGCGGCAGGTCTCCTGCATCTGTTTCTTTGACCTCTCCAAGGCCTTCGACACCGTGTGGCACAAGGACCTGATCGCCAAACTTCGTGCCCATTGTGTCTCCGGCTCCCTACTCGCCTGGATAACTAGCTACCTCTTGGACCGAAATCAGTGCGTCACAGTGAATAAAACCTTATCTGACCCCGAGTCTGTGAAATCCGGAGTGCCCCAGGGCTCCATTTTAGGTCCCCTGCTCTTCCTCACATACGTTAATGACCTCGCCTATTCAATTTCCAATATTTCTTAGTTTGCAGATGATACCACTGTCCTTGCTTCCTCCCCATCTCACGCCACCCTGTACCCCGAAGTTCAGACCTGTGTCAACGACATTGTTCACTGGATGAGCACTTGGTACCCTTAAGCCAAATGTGACCAAAACCGAGCTCCTCCTTATTTTATTATTATTATTTCACAATCACGATGACATAGTGCCAATAAGCATGTGATGCGGGCGATTTTAACCAGCCATGGTGGGGACAACTGAGAAAAAGAAGGAGAAGAAAAAGAGAAAAGAAAACAAAACAAAAGGAGTACTATAGGAACCTGGAGAGAGCAGTATGAAGATTAGGCTAGCAATGGAAAACAACGAATTCAATTCAATTCAACTTAGGCGCGGGCAGAATGGAACAAAATGCAGCGAAGGTGTCACGAGACTTTACCTCCTGCGGAAGCCGAGACCAATGAGAATAGGACTTGAACAGAGGGGATTTTAAAAGGATCGATGACCTAGCAAGTGGGAAATGGAGAGAACATCTAGTACGCGAGCTATTATTGAACCAGCTTAAATGCGCAAGTGCATGAGGAGGAGCAAGTTGAAGCTTAATACGGTGAATGAATTTGCATGCCGAGTGGGGAAAGCGTTCTGAGAGAGGGGAAGAGGAAGCCAAAATGTATAGCGTCTGAGAGGAGGTCAGAGGGGGCATGCGAAATATTAATCGAAGTAATTTACGGTGGGTGACTTCTAACCGATGCATAAGAGCGGAGGATAGACCGGAGGACCAAACGAGAGAGCAGTAATCAAACAAAGGAAGAACATAAGAGTGATAAATTTGTATTCGACAACCATGGTGTAGATGGGAGATGTGAGGAGAAATGCAGCCTATCGCGGAGCAAACTCGCTTTTCAATATAGGTTACGTGCGAATCCCAGGACAAGTGTTCATCAAGAAATATACCAAGGTGTTTGTGATTTTTAACAATGTTAATAGCAATGGGATCATCAGGGAAAGTAAAAAGCCGAGTCGTAAGGAGGGTGAGGTCACTGGAGGGTCATGGGGGGATACAAAGGATTGCCGTTTTCGACACATTGGGGCGGAGTTTCCACTTCGACATCCAGCCCACAACTTGATTAATGTGATACTGTAGCGAGTCGCAGGCTTGCAATAAGCCTGGCTCGGTTATATGGAGCGCTGTATCGTCCGCGTAGAGTGAGGTATGATCCAAACCTGCCAAATCATTAACGTATACGATGAACAATAGAGGCCCCAAGATAGAGCCCTGGGGCACTCCAGAGTGGACTGTTAGAGGGGCAGACAGGGCATGTCCAATTCGGACACTCTGTCGACGTTCAGTGAGATAGCTGGTGAGCCACTGCAGACATGTCCCGGCTACGCCAAACGCTGCTTTTTCCCCCTCCCACAGATCCAGTGCCCATCTTCCACTTTCACGATGATCCCGGTCACCCTATCTCTGTAGCACCCCACCATAAACGCCTTGGCATTGTCATAGATTCCGCCCTCTCCTGGTCTCACCATGCTGATCATGTGTGGTCCAAAGTATGCCGATCTGTCGGCATAATGTCAAATCACTTGTCCCATTTGCCCCAAAATTGCCGGATTAATTTTTATAAATCATACATTCTTCCCCTCTTCACGTACGGCTTCCTTGCCTGGTCCACCATTAACAAAACCCACATAGGTAAATTAGAAGTTCTCCATTGCCGTATACTGCGCATCATATTTCGTACTGATCGTTATCTCAAATCTAGACTTTTATGCTGCTGCATCCACTACCACTCTGCAACACTACATTGGTGCTTCCAAGTGCACCCTGGCACATTCAATTTTTCTTGACCAGCACCCTGCTCATTTACAGTCCCTTAATTGGTTCAATTCAGGTGGCATCACCCGAAGCTGCGTTTGTCTCCCCCTAGCTAGGTCTACCTTATTCGTAAATACCCCTTTCTTTTTCTCCTACTCCACGTGGCTCCAACTGCCTCCCAGTGTTAGACAAGCTCCAGATATGCCCAAATTCCGTACCCTCGTCAGACAGCACTTCAGTATCTCCCAGTAAACAAAGTCACAGTCCCCACTTCCGCTGCATAGCTCGCTGAGCATCCCATTGCTTTGTAAGTTGCTAATCCCTTCCCACTTTGTGTACGTGCTCTTCATTTTCTTTTTTCTCTTCTTCCGTGGTTGGTCTCACCCTCTCCTCAATTCAATTGGCTGTCTTGACATGCCACGAGGTGCAGAAATAAATAAATAAAGGGTACCTGTGTCTTAAGACCACTTGTGTATAAAGATCCTAAATGGCAATGATCGTGTCAGGAAATGTTTGCTTGTGCTACTTCTCATCCAGTTGACTTCTTATTATGACTTTGTACGTTATAATTTTGTTGAGCTCCGGTTTCCCCCTTCGTTCTAACTCAAGTGCAGTTTAGCGTGTATTGGCTTGCGATTTCCTTTCTTCTGTTTGCTTGGCACTTTATCGCTCCACAGGTACCCTCGGTCTCAGGTGCTCTCACATTTGTGCAATTGTTGATTTTGGTCCTGAATTGTCCTCCCTGTTGATTTGCTACCGTCCTCCTCCTTCCTCCACCTTTTTTTCTTAACTGGCCTCATTATGGCATTCGCTTCCATGTAATTGGGCTTGTAGCCCGTGTGTACTTGCGAATTCAAATAAAAATATACATACATACATACATACATCACCTGTATATAACGATCACCTGTGTATATCAGTGGTCTCTGCACCTTCCGGTGGCGGTGGGTTGGGGGGGGGGGGGGGGGGGGGTGTTATCCACTGAACCACCGATCTTACTATGTTCAATCTAAGTTGCTTAATATGTCAGTGACCCGAGTTTCAGAGTTTTAAGAAAAAGAAGATGACTAGTAGTAGTACCTGCTAAATTTCAATTGACGCGGCAAAACTTTAGCGAAAACACTTCTTTCGTTAAAATCGCTATAATATCACCTGCGCTTAAATTGGACTCGGATGGAGAGCCAAGGATTAATTTATAAAAAATAAAAGGACCAAGGAACTACAAGTTACGCTATAATGTCCAGTTATCCAGTAACACCACCAGTTACTAAACAATCAGCTCATGCGATAACATAGCATGACATGGACCTACGGTACTGACGTTATAATTAGCCATTTTACCATTTTACAGTAACAAGTGAACTGTTGAGCTACAAGAAAAGTTAGCCCAGTTCTATTAGAAACGTGTGTGTGTGTGTTGCTGTGCTCCGTCTCTGTCTTTCGTCCGGGTCTCTGCTCATCCATTGTGCACTGTACCATGACAATGAGAAGTTCACTCTGCTGCTGTTTGACCCGTTTTTTGCCAGGAATGCCAAGTACTTGGAACAATAAGCAGGAGATTAGGCCTGGTCCAGAGATGGCAGGGGGGGGGGGGGCAAGCGTCTGCTCTCCGACCCCAGCAGCTCAGGGCCTCGGCCGGATCCGATTAGCAGCCTGGCTGCCCTCCAGGCAGCGTCGTGGAGCCTGACGTCTTCTTGTGATCAGAGCGTTCGTCTCTAGGCATCATGGGCGCTGTGTGTTTTCATTGCGAGTTGGCCTGTGTTGCTGTGACCAGCCCATGCCATTTTCCTTCATTATGAATTTACACATAGCAGTGATGTTTCTAATGGCTTGAAGTACACTTGAAACTCACATGCTATTTACTTTGAATTGCAGTTAGTAAATTATGACAATAATAAACTATCACTTTTCAATCCATGGCAGACAATCAGGGAAGTTTTTGAAGCTCCTCTCACTCCCGCCATTAATGTAATAAGAATATTTATTTCAAGACACGCTTGCGTTAGCCTTTACTGAAACTTGACTAACGATGTTGAGATCACGATGCCTCTGTGCGCTGAGCCAATCCACATTGATTTCATAGAAGCCTAACCTATATCTTTGCAGACTTGATTTTTGTATTCAAATTCAAGACTGAAGATCTTACCAGAACTTGGTACATTTTGTAGAATGCGGTTAATGCGTTGAAATAGGCTGGGAATTTCTCAGTTCCATGCTAGTAAATACAAATGACATTGCCTTACTCTTTTTGCTGTCATCGGCTCACTGCTGATGAGATATAACAAAGTGGAAACAGCTGGCTGTCTGAGATTTGAGTGTGTTTTGTTTTTTAAATTGTTGACCACCTCCCTTTGGTGTCCCAGCAGCTGAGACTGCTGTTATCACCACCATGTCTTCACCCATCCACCTCCAATTCTAATTGCAACGATTTACTGTTTTAAAAACACTCAATCACTGTGTGACGTCATTGTTGATGTTCCCAGCTATCATTGCTGTACTCTTCTCTGGCCCCTGCGTCTGTTGCAGCCATGATCACTGCATGCTGCCCCTTACCACCATTTTCAGCCTAGCATCTGATACTGATACTAGGCTCGAGATGGATCTACATGTACAATGACAAGAGAATCTGATACAATGACGTAGACCAGGGTTACCAGGGTTACCAGCATTACCAAGGGTACTAGGACTAGAGGGACCGTCACTTAGGCCCTTATCACACTGCGCTCAAAAGTCGCATTTGCGTCTGCGTTTTCTTCGGTTTTTGACGGTCGCCTAGGAAATGCCATCATGTGACGTTATCGCAAGCGCGTTGGTTTCCAGACGCACAGCCGCAGACGCAGACGCAAACCAGGGGGGGAGGGGGGGGGGGGGTGGTCAAAACCGAATCGCCTAAACGCAGGTCGGACTTTCTTTATCACAGCACTTCCTGCATTGTTTTTGAGTGTTTTCGAGTGATTCTCAAGTGTGCTTTTCAAATCTTCATTTCCATCTAGTTGCTGAGGCCGGCGAGGGTACTTCTACTACATGTACTGATTGATTGATTTTGGATTCGCGAGGCATGGAGCTGATGCGAGCTCGTGGCTGTCTGGCTGAGGTTGCGCTGACTAGTCGGCGGCGGCTAGCCTAGCTGGACGATGTGCCTCAACAACGGAACTGCCACCCCAACACAGGCAACGCAACGGCTGCAGTCTTCCCATCGACTCCCATTCTCCCAGCACCACTGACAAAGGACATAGGAGCAGAAACAGAACACTTCTCGATCTCAGGAAAATAAATTCAACATCCACGGCCACCTCGAGATTGATTCCCCACATTTTTGTATTTTCCCGCGCGCACAGATTTCGACGCAAACGCTGAAAATCACAAGTATAGTATGATATCACGTCTTGCGTTTTCCAATCTCAAATGCAAACGCTGACGCAAACGCGACTCAAACAAACGCAGTGTGATAACGGCCTTAAAGGGGCACTCCGGCTTCATTTTCGACGCCGAGTTTTCGATGGCAAGACGAAGGTAGATGAAAGAGAAGACCCCTCGAACAAGAACGACTACCGGCCAAAACATCTTTCCGTAAGAGACGTCCGCGGACCTCGCTACCTTTCCCGTGAAGCAATCTGTTCACGCACATGGGAGATGGGGATATGGCTGGCTACATGTACAGCGCGCACATGCAAACTTGATTGAAGACTTGCAAAAAATTTGTTTACACTTCCAGGCGAACTGCTAGTGCTACTGTTGTGCGAGTACTGCACTCGGTAATGGGAGCTGACTTCATTTTCGGAGAAACACTACTGGAGTATCATCGTAGAAAACGTAATATTGGCGATGGCATCTAGGAAGGATCGCTACCCTAACGTGAAGGAAAGGCCTTGAGCGGCTGCTCTACGAAGTGTTGAAGAAAGATTCAAAGTTGCTGGCATTGAAGCGTTCGTTCCCACACTGCAGTATTGGTGACTGGAACTCCCTCCTCACCACTCTTCTGTCCCAGCCTCTCCACAGCAAGGGAATGCAAGCATTCAAAACTAACGTTTATCGCCATCGGCGAAGCACAAACTGGCCCTGGGCAGTCGACTCGCTATGATGATGCTCTCGTCTACCCCTATCTATGCGGCACCACAACTGGCTCGGACAATCGACTCGCCATGATCAGCCATGATGATGCTCCTCTCAGTCATAACCCTTGTAATTTGTTTTATGTTTTATGTAAAATAGTCTCACAGCTTCTCCCGCACACTCGCTGGTTAACCCTTCCTTTCTTTTCACTTTGCTGACTCGTACAGCTCTATCTTTTGCTTTTGGTGCGTGTTTTTGGCCGTGATGCGGAGACCTCAGGTCGGTAGAGCCATCAATGCCCCACCATCACTGCTGCGTCTCGGTGCAGCCCCTGCTCAATAGTTGTCATGTTCGTCCTAGTCTCAGTACCATTGTCTTTCTTTAATATTTTCGAGCTCTCTCCCTCTCTCTCTGTTTATCTGTTTCTCTCTCCCTGCCTGTATGTCTGCCTACCTGCCTGTTTGTCTGTCTGTCTCTGTCTCTCTCTGGTACGTGTCTCTGTTTCTGTCTCCCTGCCTCTCTCCCTGTCTCTCTTTCTCTGTTTCTCTGGCTCTATTTCTGTATGTGTCTCTCTCCCTTTCTCTCTGCTTCTCTCTGTCTCTGTCTGTCTGTCTGTCTCTGCCTATCTGTCGGTCTGTCTGTCTGTCTCACTCTGTCTGTCTGTATGTATGTATGTCTCTCTGTCTGTCTGTCTCTGTCTCTTTGGCTCTCTTTCTGTGTGTTTCTCTCGGTTCCCCTCTGTCTCTGTCTGTCTCTGTCTGTCAGTCTGTATGTCTCTCTCACCCTCGCTGTAGGTGTCGCTCTGTCTCTCTTTTGTCTCTTTCATTCTTTCTCTGTCTGTCTGTCTGTCTGTGTGCCTGTTTGTCTGTCTGTCTGTCTGTCTGTCTCTCTCTCTCTCTCTGTGTCTCTCTCCCTCTCTCTGTTTCTATATCTCTGTCTGTCTGCCTGCCTGCCTGCCTGTCTGTTTGTCTGTCTATGTCTGTCTATGTCTGTCTATGTCTGTCTGTCTGTCTGTCTGTCTCTCTGTCTCTCTGTCTCTCTGTCTCTCTGTCTTTCTCTTTCTCTCTCTCTGTTTGTCTTTCTCTCTCTTCTCTCTCTCTCTCTCTCTCTCTCTCTCTCTCTCCTCTCTCTCTCTCTCTCTCTCTCTCTCTCTCTCTCTCTCTCTCTCTCTCTCTCTCTCTCTCTCTCTCTCTCTCTCTCTCCATCTATCTATTTATCTCTCTCTGTCTCTCACTCACTCTCTGTCTCTCTCTCTCTCTCTCTCTCTCTCTCTCTCTCTTCTCTCTCTCTCTCTCTCTCTCTCTCTCTCTCTCTCTCTCTCTCCCTCTTTCTCTCTTTCGCTCTGTCCGTATTTGTTCATGTCTTTCTGTCCTTTGTTAACACTTTCTCCCCTCCCTGAGCAAAGCGCACTGATTCATCGACCCACCCTGTTCTAGTATATTTGTTACTTGTACCATTTTGTGCTTGGCGTTAACAGACTCGGAATGTAAATGCACATGTACTTACGTATTGCAGTGTGGATACGGTATGGACGCAAATCAAAGGCCAGGTAACATGCAAGGACAGAGTGAAAGGATGAAATATACATGTAGTGAACATGTGGTCGGATATAGGGGGGGGGGGGGTTGTAGAGAGGGAATGGCTGTCCGCAGTGGATCATAAAATAGTTACAGAGGCAATATGCTTTGGTTCTGCAAGAGTGCTCAATGCCTGATTCAGGCAGAGCGGCGTACACAAAGGCACACAATGAAAACCTTGGCAAATTTATTCCTTTGTGACTCCGAGTTTCATGGCTGAACCAATCATCAGACAACGATAATGGAATAGGAGGCAGCGCTGGTATATCTAAGTGGAGAGAGGTGTGATAATACGATAGCGAGAGGAGTAATCGCGTGAATGTATACAGGGACGGGCTATTTCAGAGGCAGATGCAGTAGGCGCAGGTCTAGCACTAAGAAGTACGCGCTTAATGTCGCTCACACACCACACACACACACACACACACACACACATACTAACACGCACACACATAGTAACACCCACACACACATACACACATACACGCACACACTAACACACACATAAACTCACCCACAACACCCTAACTTGCACACGGGCGCACGCACACACAGGACACCCACCCACCCACAACACCCTAACTCGCACACGCACAAACACACGCACACACGCATATACACACACCTATAGACACATGTCCACACGTATACACAGGCATCTGCGTTCGTATGACAAATCTAAGCGCACACAAACTCCTGCAATCACGCGTCAAAAAACCCCGCAGCGGTCATAGCTGTCTATGTAATAGGGGTGGCCAGCAGAAACTTGCGCTGGTGAGGGCATTTAGATACCAGCTCACTTCTCTTGTTTAGGGAGGTAGCTTTTGAAGCTTTCAGGATGTGGAACTTTTCGGTTAAGCATAGGCCACACTTCTTGCTGATGTTACTGTACGAAGGTGCTCTATCCTTGATCTCCCATCTGATGTCGAATCCGCATCAGAACCGCGGATTCGACATCAGATGGGAGATCAAGGATAGAGCACCTTCGTACAGTAACATCAGCAAGAAGTGTGGCCTATGCTTAACCGAAAAGTTCCACATCCTGAAAGCTTCAAAAGCTACCTCCCTAAACAAGAGAAGTGAGCTGGTATCTAAATGCCCTCACCAGCGCAAGTTTCTGCTGGCCACCCCTACTACATAGACAGCTATGACCGCTGCGGGGTTTTTTGACGCGTGATTGCAGGAGTTTGTGTGCGCTTAGATTTGTCATACGAACGCAGATGCCTGTGTATACGTGTGGACATGTGTCTATAGGTGTGTGTATATGCGTGTGTGCGTGTGTTTGTGCGTGTGCGAGTTAGGGTGTTGTGGGTGGGTGGGTGTCCTGTGTGTGCGTGCGCCCGTGTGCAAGTTAGGGTGTTGTGGGTGAGTGTATGTGTGTGTTAGTGTGTGCGTGTATGTGTGTATGTGTGTGTGGGTGTTACTATGTGTGTGCGTGTTAGTATGTGTGTGTGTGTGTGTGTGTGTGGTGTGTGAGCGACATTAAGCGCGTACTTCTTAGTGCTAGACCTGCGTCTACTGCATCTGCCTCTGAAATAGCCCGTCCCTGTATACATTCACGCGATTACTCCTCTCGCTATCGTATTATCACACCTCTCTCCACTTAGATATACCAGCGCTGCCTCCTATTCCATTATCGTTGTCTGATGATTGGTTCAGCCATGAAACTCGGAGTCACAACGGAATAAATTTGCTAAGGTTTTCATTGTGTGCCTTTGTGCATAAAATAGTTACGTTATTTACAAGTACATGCAGTTCTCTCTGTTGTCTAAGATACTTATGGTCATCGGATTAAACGCTTATACGCAGATGGTAGTAAAATCTACCTTTACATGATTTCGAGTGGGATGTTGGATACCGGGTATCAGACTACGCTTGATTAGCACAGACTGAGGAGTACGGACTGAGTTCTCTCTACTTTACACCCATGTGTGCGAGATAGCCGACACGAACGACGTTCTGGCGACCGTACGCCCTACGCCCTGGTCGTCGAAAACACGTTTGAATGACAGGTAGCGCAGCAACCCACCTGATCAGCAGTAGTACAGACGCTGTTACGGAGGTTCAAATCTCCACAGACTCCAGCAAACAAAACTTTGTGACTTTTTGACTGACGTAGCCGGTTACTAGATGGAGCGGTAATTCAGAGCTTTCTAATGCGAGAGTCTATTCCATTCGGAGGCTGAGTGTCGCGAGAGTGAATCTCTATGTCTCTGTACCTTTGCAACATTTCACTACTGGCTTTGGTATAAGTGAGAAGAACTCAAGATCAGCCGGCGTTTCGCTCAACCGAAATCTCTTTCCCGTAACCCTATAAGACAAAGCACTGGCAAGGTAACTGCTCGGCTGATAATGAATTGGAGAACGAGGACGCCGTGGTCAGCTGCCCCACACCATGTAGTGTTTGTTATCCTACTGAGCTTGGCAATGCTCCGAAAACGCACTGTCCTGGCAGAGGGTCGGTGGGACGCCTCGGTGAATGGTCCCGATGGAGACCGATATCAGAATCAGGGCGATCGCACAATGGTAGAGAAATCCAGAAATCCAGATCAGTCGGAGTCTCGTACAGTTGTTGTGGACAGTGTGTCGAAGCAACGTGATTGTGGGTTCAATCTTCTCGCACGGATTGTAGCGGTGAACAGCTGTGATAGATGTCCTGTCACTAAAGCTAGGATTGTTATGGCGGCAAACTACCTGCACGGGTTTGCGAACAGCGAAGCCAGCACAAAGCGCGATGGCACACGATACAATGTGGCGAGAGAGTATCTTCTTCAACAATGTGTGGCTTCGGAGAGCCAGACTAAGACCGTTGATGCCGCAGCAGAGACAGAAAATCCTGACGTTGGCGTGTTGGAGTTGTTGGAAAGCATTCCACAACGAACATGGGAGATATTGTCAGAAGTGAATGAAGGAATGGTCAGCGACGGTAAGAATCTCTAGATCAGGAATGCTGACGGATGTTTGTTTTGCTTGTTTTGCGTGTTTCATTTGAATTCGCGGGACCAAACGAGCAGAGGTGCTCAATAAGAAGGGTAGCGAATTATGGAGGGGAAGTTAAAATCATGTGTGGTGGGAGGGGATAAGAGAAAGGAGGAGAAAGATGAGTCTGGGAGAAGGAACAGCGATTTTATTGGTAGGCAGTTGAATACAAAACAATCCGGGGATCAGAGATCTCCCCATTTTCTGGCAATCACAGAAGTGTCACAGATTCGAATGGACATATCAATTAGCCCCCGTCCGTCCGTCATTTTTTTTATACTATTGACACAGCCCTACTGGAAAACAGGTGGACAACAAAAAGAAACGAGGAAAAGGATAAACATAGGGTCATACCAACAAGTCAACAAAGAAGCATCATTGGATTAAGGGATGCTGGTTTCGAAACAACAGGTTTTTAAGCTCAAACTCAGTCAAAGTAGAGCTGCTGCTAGCTCAGAATAGAGCTGCTGGTTAGCTCAAAGTAGAGCTGCAGTTAGCTCAACGTTGAGCTGCAATGCTAAATGGATGTAATAATTACAGCTCAAGACGGAGCCGCAGCAAATAGCTAGATAACACCAGTTGTGAGAGTGGACCTGATCAGTGGGTACGATAATTATTATAGTGATTGTGTGAATAAGTTAGACAGGGAGGGATGGTGGGAAAAGAAACTCTGCGGAAGCACGATCTGTTTTCTGGAGGAACACAACCGGGAAAGCAATAATTTTCTTGTCAGCAAAACGGACTGGGTGCCGTGTGCACTTACTAGTACGCAGCAAAGCAAAGCGCATGACGTTAGTCTTGAAGGCAGTACAAAGCAATGCAGAGCAGTGTGTACGCTAGTTGGGATTGTTGCCAACGGGTACTAGCACAGCCAGTACACCATATTATAGGGTTTGAAGACATTTTTACTGCGTGGTAATGCAACATGAAAAGAACAAAACTCGCCATGTAGGTTGATCGCCAGGCTTTAAAAATAGTTCTCTGTCTCTGCCTGTGCCTCTTTCTGTCTCTCTCTGTCTCTCTCTGTGCCTGTCTGTCTCTCTCTCCCGTTCTCTCTCGCACTAACTCACTCACTCTCTCTCTATCTCTCTCTCTCTCTCTCTCTCTCTCTCTCTCTCTCTCTCTCTCTCTGTATCTATCTGTCTCTGTATCTGTCTATGTGTCTCTTTTTGTCTCTCTCTGTCTGTCTGTCTCTCTGTCTGGCTGTCGTTTTCTGCCCATCTCTTTCTCTCTTTCTCTCTCTATCTGTCATTCTCTCTATACTTCTTTCTCTCTATCTCTCTCGCTTTCTCTCTATGTCTGTCTGTCTCTGTCTGTCTCTCTGTCTCTGTCTCTATTTCTCTATCTAGCGCTCTCTCTCCCTCTCTCTCTCTCTCTCTCTCTCTTTCTCTCTCTCTCTCTTGTTCCTCTCTGTCTCTCTGTCCCTCTGTGTGTGTCTCTCTCTCTCTTTCTCTATCTCCCTTCAGTCGCTTTCTCTCACGGTCTCTCGGTCTGTTCTGTCTGTCTGTCTGTCTGTCTGTCTGTCTGTCTGTCTGTCTGTCTGTCTGTCTGTCTGTCTGTCTGTCTGTCTGTCTGTCTGTCTGTCTGTCTGTCTGTCTGTCTGTCTCTCTCTCTGTCTGTCTCTCTCTCTCTCTCACTCTGTCTCTCTCTCTCTGTTTCCCTCTCACTCTCTCTGTCTCTCTGTCTCTGTCTCTCTGTCTCTCTCTCTGTCTCTCTCTCTCTGTCTCTCTCTCTCTCTGTCTCTGTCTCTGTCTCTGTCTCTCTCTCTCTCTCTCTCTCTCTCTCTCTCTCTCTCTCTCTCTCTCTCTCTCTCTCTCTCTCTCTCTCTCTCTCTCTCTCTCTCTCTCTCTCTCTCTCTCTCTCTCTCTCTCTCTCTCTGTCCCTGTCTCTCTATCGCTGTCTCTTTCTCTCTCCTCCCCTGTGCCTTTCTCTCTCACTGGGGACCTACAGTGAAGGAGAGGTCATGACTGCTTCTGATGTCGTCGTTGGACCTCCCTAGTTGGCAAAATCGATAATAGATCGATTCAAAGTGGGTACACACTGCGTACACACTGGGACGGGTGTGTGTGTGTGGGGGGGGGGGGGGGGTATACATACTGCGTACACATTATCGGGGGGGGGCAGATTGAATGAGCTACTGCATTATTTATCACTCGTGGTCTTACGTCATGGGAAGATCACTAGATTTAAGCCGGTGATTGTATGAGAATTGAGAACTGAAATATGCACTAGGTCCATAGTAATACCAGCTCCGTCTCTAACTCATTTCCCTGGTTTCTTCTTTTAGAATCTCTGGCACAAGCAACTTTTTATCTCGGGAGGCCAAATTACATGTTCAGTAGAAAATGCTACCTATTTTCTCTTTTAGACTAGGAAGGAGAATCAAGGATAATTTTTTAAGAAGAAAAGAGGACGAAGGAGCTTCAAGTCACGCTATAATTTCCAATACGACCACCAGTTACTTTAGAATCAGCTGATGCGATAACATTGCACGGCACTGACCAACGGTGCTGACATTTTCTCCAACCTCAGCAATCAGCTCGAGCACATCTCGGATGCGCACTCCAACAGCACTGTTGATCAGTGTCATGTAGTGTTATTGCATGAGCTGATTGCAAACCTACTGGTGATGTTATCGGACATTAAAGCGTCACTTGTAGCTCCTTGGTCCTCTTCTCTTCCTATTATCCCATCCTTCAGTTTTCTTTCCTTTATATACACCCGATCTACAAATTGCACAGAAGAAACCAATGATGGCCTTTCAGAACATAATGAGCAGCTATCAACTCCGATGAAGATGGTGTCAAGGGCTCCGTCGACTATAACGGTCTCCGGATCACTGCTGGGTCTGTGCACCAGGGGATCACAGTAGTGAGAATAATAGGAGAGTGGATGAAAATGGGAGGGAAACGAGAAACAAAAGGCAATACTGTTACAGGAAGCTCAGGTGAGCATGGAGATAAAAGAAAACAGAAGTCCCTCCAATTGGCTGGCCCCGTACGAAATGAGGAGAGTAGCATAAGTTATAGAATAAACATGGAGTTACAGAATGGTATGGTATGGTATTGATTTATTTGAATTCGGTATCTCAACAGTACATTGAATAAACATGGAGTTACAGAATAAACATGGAGTTACAGAATATACATGGAGCAGATGCTGCGTGAGAGATACTAGTACACAGACTACACCGGGGAGTACTAAAATACTGTTTTTTTAGTACTCACAGGCCTACACAGGCATGTGTACAGGAGAGAGTCTCCCAGACAACGGGAGAGCTGATCTGGTTCTTTGTGATATGCCTCAGAAGAAGAATGAGAGAGAGAGCGTGTGGGTGCGGCCCCGGGGGGGTGGGGGGGGGGGAGACAGACAGAGAGTACGGGCTCTTAACCCGGACTGATACAGGAATCCTAGCAAGTTTGTTGTCATTCGATCTTCCCGGAAGTCATTCCACCTGGCGTAATGGCAGTTATGAATGCAGGAATAGGGCGAGTAAGGCGTAGCTGTCACTCAGATACTTCAAGTAGACCTTTTAAAGGCAACCAAAGCCACTGCCATCGAGGGTCAAGGCGCAGAATTTTAGAAAGACAAACATGTACATAGTGATAGAGACATTGTTCCTACCTCGTACATGTACATGTACATCGTGGGAGGTGTGGGAGTTGTGCTGAAGCCATCGGTTTGATCATCTTTGCTTATTCAACGAAGAGCCACATTCAGCTATATTCATGTGATAATGATTCCACGCTTGCTCGTTTTCCTTTTCTTGTTCCCTTAGAATCTCTGGCGCAAGCGTCTGTCGTTCAGCTGCTGTTCCCGGAGATAGAGGATAAGTGTTGTGGGGATCCAGCTGGATGCAGTCACAACGACATTGCCAACTACTGCATCTGAAAATTCACACAAGTTAGGTCAAATTGTAACATTTTGTCGGTATCGATTCCCGGCGGAACACCGGTAAACTAAGCAATGCCGTGGACTATGCCACGACCACGCACACTGGAAAAACGCCTGAATCTGGCTACAAGGCCGTTGATTGTGTAAAGAGAAATACTTTTTCCTATGCCTATCGAGTGGTCTAGCCCAGAGGTCATCAAGAGTGGTGTGAGGATTTACGATTGTAATGAACGGCGGAGTCTTTCCATCTTGAGAATTGCTATCTTTTGAATCAGGTTTTCTCGGTAGATTTTTCATTTTCATATTTGCTCAGTAAACCGACCAATGCGTTCAGTGCATAGCAAGCAGACTTAGAGACGGCTACACGCACTGTACGAGTAGTGTATGCCTTCATGATGTATTCTCTGCCTGTCTAGTCCGCCTTTGAATTTGTCACTCTCCCCACTCTCTGTTCAACTCTCTCCTCTGTTTGTCTGTCTCTCTGTGGGTCTGTCTCTCTGTGGGTCTGTCTTTCTGTCTGTTGGTCTGTCTGCCTGGATGGCTAGATCTCTGTCGGTCTGTCTGTCTATTCCTCTCTCTCCTTCTCTCATTTCCAAATATCCGCGACCTGTATTATTATAATTGTACATGTACATGTATGTGACTATGTGTACATGTACATGTGTATGTGACTATGTGTAACAAGGTGTAGTATCCTATTCGTTTTGTGAGAATATACATGTACAGCTAAAATTGATTTGATTTCTATTCTAAATTTGATTATTTACAAATATTATGCATCATGTTCTCGACCCAAGTAGGCTAAATTGAGCAAGGGCAAGGAGCAGCATTCGGCTTTGTACAGTGCTGGCCACTGAAATCCGACCCCTGAGCGGTGCGCTCACATCGCAAAGATCCAGCACAGGATTGTAACACTACGAAAAAGAGACCGCTAGAATGTGAACCCACCGCTCAGGGGTCGGATTTCAGTTGCCAGTACTGTACATACATGTACACGTACATACAATGTACTGGTACCTTCACGTATTACGTGAGTTTTATACTCGAAACATCTGTATGAAGGAACGAAGTAGCCAAAGCCAAAGGATGTTTCGCTTTGCTGGTGGCGTGCTGTGGAAGCGTGTTAAGGTCGGAGAGAGAGAGAGAGAGAGAGAGAGAGAGAGAGAGAGAGAGAGAGAGAGAGAGAGAGAGAGAGAGAGAGAGAGAGAGAGAGAGAGAGAGAGAGAGAGAGAGAGAGAGAGAGAGAGAGAGAGAGAGAGCACGCAGTTGTGATGTGGTTGTTGATGATAAAACCCATGACCCATAAGTGATGATGATAATTGACTGCAGAGAATATCGATCCAGGCTCTGAGTACACTGCATCATACGTACATGTACATGTACATGTAGATGATTGTATTATCGATTGTGACCATGGTCCCAGGGGGGGGGGGGGGGTCACGATACCAGTACCGGTACATGTACAATGTATAAAACTCACGTAATACGTATAATCGCATTTTTTCCTATACATGTACATGTACATGTAGTTGGCTGTATCCGAGTTTATCACTCTCTAAGTATTGACTCCCATTGATTTTCGCTATACCTAAGCAGTCAAATAGTCCTTCTCTCTCTCTCTTTCTCCTTCTTTCTCTCTCTTTTTCCGTTTCTCTCTCTCTATCTATCTATCTACATGCACATGTATCTAGTGCCCAAGTCGGATGCCACCTTTGCAACATGGCCGGTAGCTCGGCTTACTTAAAGCTCGTCAATGTACTGATGAGGCTTACATGGCCGAAACAACTACTTGCTGTATACAGCATTGGGTATATACATGTACATGTATATCTACATGTACATGTAACCCTCTAACAATCTCTATCTCTATGTATGTACGTATGTATGTGTGTACATGTATGTATGTATGTTTGTATGTATGTATCTATCTATCTATCTCTACCTATCTATCTACATGTATCTATCTATCTATCTCTATCTATCTGTCTCTGTCTCTGTGTATGTTTCTCTCTCGCACTCGTCGGATTTCCATGCCTACGTGAAGTCAAGTAAATAATGCCTGTTGGACCTCCAGGCTCCTGCGGATTGACCTTACACGACTTTCGAAAACCAATTCCACTGCTTCAATCACGAATGAACGTAAAAGATGGTGACATAGTACCTTTTCGGGCCTTGTGAACAGGTCAAAGACAGAAATTAGCCCAAGTAAAAATTGGAGAAGTAGAGCAAACAGAGGGTCAAGATGGGAATTTAAGACGGAACAGAAAAAGGAGAGTTGAATGGAAGAAAGAAAGTAAAAACAGGAGGAGAAACACAGAAAGAAAGGCAGAAAGAAAGAATGGATGGATGGACGAATGAAGGTAAAGTAAAGAAGGAAAGGTAGAATGAAAGAAAAAAAACTGCATTTATAGAAAGAACTCAATTGTGCCCACAATTTCCATGTTACAGAAAGAAGGTAAAATAAAAGAGGATACAGAGATTGAGACAGAAAGAGTCATGAGAGATAGAATAGACGTTGGTGGAGGGGACTGAGAAACAGAGACAGAGATGTAGAGAGTCTCCCGTCGACATTGTGCGTGGTGAGCGGTCGGAACAGCTGTATGAAAGCGTGAAACATTTGCATGTACACAACATGTACATGTAGAATACAGTAACACTGCACCTGTGTTGTACTTAAAACAGAACATTAGTACTGTCTGTACAGACAGTACTGTCTGTACAGACGGTACTGTCAGTAGGGCCTTGAGGCGATGATTCTTGAACGAACACTGGCGTTTTATCAAAAACAAGCTTCATGAAGGTGTATTAGAATTCCAAATGCACCATTAGCTGGACATCTCAGTACTGGCAGCTTTTCATTGTGATTCACTACTTCAAACAGCTGTGAACGGCAAGGCAATGAGAACTGATCGTGTTTGATATGCTAGACGGCAAGACAATGCCTTTAGCATTCACTGTTAACCTTTTCCTTATAACACTTGCGACCAGGGGGTGACGAATCATAATATTATATTATCTAGATACACACACAACAGAGGCGAAAGGCTGTGTGACCGGCCTTGTTTGTTTATTATCTAGATATGTATTTTTGACACTAACGATTGTTTGAGGCCTAGATGATCTCATTTGACAGATATTCAGGCGCGTGTTGCCTTGCAAGTCTGTTCGTCGTGCCAAGGTGTACCCAAATCGACAGATGTGCCTTTCGAGTATCTTCGCCGACCTTTATCCCATTCTCTCTCTCCACTCAGACGGAATGGCTTCTGGATCCGCGCGTCCTTTCGACCCTGACAGCTGTGATGGCAATGTCAATACATTGTGGAGTAGAGGAGTGGTTTCTGCGCCAGGGAGGCATGTTCGGAAGGTGGAAGCAGCAATCACATGACATGTACATGTACATGACACACGTACATCGCAATCAGCACACAGTACATGATTGCACACGTACACGTATATCGCAATCAGCACACATAACTGTGCAATGTACATGTATTATACAAAGATGAATACCAGCTTCCGTGTGGAGAGGAGCAATTACAATAACATTGTGTATTGATTTGTGACACCTCTGACTAACAATGTACGGCAGTGGGCTTAAATTTAAGACTTCAAATGGTGGAAATCACGTGGATGCGTGTGCCTGGTATAAGGACCTTACTGCCTATAACCTCTCAATGTAAACATGGGTAAGTCATGTACTTGTACTTGTATAAGGAGATAGCCACGTTGTTGAACTGCGATATGCAACCCGGTGGGCCGTACTCCACACCCCCGGTTAGATCATTTAGAAGTGGTGCTAGAAAGTGTACAAGTAGTATTCGCCTAGATTTGACAGCTATCGATTAAAAACGTTCAATCGTCACTAGTGCCTCGTACACCTAGGCAAGGCAATCTACCTTGTTCATCAATATGCGGTCTATGGGATAGGAACACTTAGCTAGTTTTTTAGTGAAGTGGTCCCTTGTCCCAGCTCACCCACCTCTCATTGTCTTCAGGTTGTAGTGGGCATTGTTCGCGCTTTGTTACCACTCGTTTCATGAGCAAGAGTTGCTAAGCATCCAAGAATGGTGCTGCTACGGTGGTACTATGGTGCTGCTATGAGCGGCATTGTTTGGAAGTGTAGTTCGTGTGTTAGGCGATCTTCATCACCCCGTGGGACCTGTTACTTGACAATGAGATGAAGTTAGTTTTCAAATGGCAGCTATTATAGCTATCGTAGGTAAGACACCGCGTTGCAGTCTGATTCCTTCAGTCTCCTGATGAAACGTTCTCCCTTAGATAGTGGCATGAATTGGTAGCGTCTCTAGCCAGTTGCCAGAGTTGGCTCTAGACACTTGGAACCCCATCTGAGAATTTTTATACCCACACACACACACGTGCGCGCGCACACACACACAGGCACACAGAGAGACAAAGTGATAAAAAAACTACTTCAAGTAAGCATTAGAATACGATGAACAGGTCCAGGGAGCATTGGCTGAGTTTCGACATGATTGTACATGTACATGTGCATGCACGAGTACATGCACAATGTCATGTAAAATGATTGTACAGTCATGTACATGTACATGTATGCCAGTCGCATGCATGGAATTTTCGTGACCTTCTGTATGCCTGAGAAGGCCAGGGCTGCTTGACACAAACAATTATTCCGTCGGTACATCTGTTTACACTGACATTGTACCTGAAATTACATTGATGAACACAACACATTCTCAAGAGCCTGGACAGTTTCATTGTGTGAATACGATGCTACCACTCCTGCAGCTTGAAATCCAACATGAGCACAGATAACACAACGATAGATGATAGTACAGTCATGCACACCCTTGTTGGCACTAATGCACGGTTCAAGGTGATACTGATTATCCAACATCCCTTCATCTTTCTGTGAGAACCGGACCTAGGGGACGGTGAGAAGGTAATACTGCCTGTGCAATTGGTGAAGTAAGATAAAAGTCATTCTTTAGAACACGGAGGCTCCACTGCAGCCAATTCATATTATGATCAGTCACCACTACACTACCACCAGTTGCAGCGTCAACGGCCTTTGTGTAGTGGTGATGACTGATCATATTAAAGTCAACAGCAACATATCCCATCCATGTTGGCGTACCAGGTAGAAATCGGATGATCACAAACATTATCTCTACCAGGTTGGGCCGGGGACCTCTCAGTTTCTCACTATCTACTTCTTTCTGTGGTCGGCGCAGCTTGTGCAACAACGGTGAGAGGCACTGGCTCGGTCGGCTGAGATGGGTCTGCTCAACTGACGCAGCCACCTTGTGTGGCATCTACCATCAGGTATCCCTGCTTCGTTCTTACAACATTGCTAGGGTTGTGCTTCGGATCAAATGCTACGTCGTGGTAAAAAAATACAATAAAACGCCATCATGTTGGTACAATGTATGACAGGTGAGAGTAGTGAACATTATACAAGACATCCACCTCCTTCCAGGACAGAGCCAGCTAGCCAGCATGAACACGATCCTATCATTCCTATCTCTGTTGTATACTATAAAAGTAGAAAAAGGATCACCTTAAAATGTACTTGTGAAGCTGTCGGAATGACTATGACTCCCACCAACCTGTTCCTTCAGGAATTCTGGCGAAGGTCAAAGCGTGCATAGAGAGGCCGGAAAACCATTCAAACGGACGCACAAAACCTGTCACAAAATCCATGAAACGCCCTTGGCACCGCTTCTGCACAAATCATCCGGGGCACGAAGTCCTTAAAGCTTTGCCCTTCAGGGATACCCAATTGTTATCTGATTCATATTGTATCAGCTGA